ATATATATATATATATATATATATATTTTTTTTTTTTTTATTTATTTTATTTTTTTTTACAAAAGTTAACAGATTATGTGTCTCATGTCTGGCGTTATTAAATACATGTGAAGTTCACATAACCTTTATGTACTGTCATTAATTGTCCTGCATCTTGCAAATGCATAGTTGCTCCAATATCCTTTTTGTTGCAACCAAGGAAGTCAAAGTATTTTATGTGGATTTTATGTCAAAGCTGAAAACGACATGACAAAGACTCAAATATTTTACAAATAAAGATTCTAAAATTGGGGAGGCAGTATTATGCTATGGGATGCTTTTATTGGCCAAAGATAGGGAAGTTGGTTAGAGTTGATGAAAAATGTTTGAAGGTAAATATAGAGCAATTCTGGATGAAAACCTCTTAGAGGCTGCAAAATACTTGAACCTAGGGTGAAAGTTTTCTTCTCCTCCTCTTGACTGGAATATAACCACAAACATACAGACAGAGCTGCAATGAAAGGGATCAGATAAAAAATATACTCATGTATTTGCCCAGTCAAAAACTAACAAAACTAAATCTAGTTAGGAATCGGTTGCTAAATAGATTTTCACAGATCACAACTGGAACTAAGACTGTAAGCTTGAGGTATTCTAGAAAAAGAACGTCAACAGATTTTACCCTGCAAGAGCACTTCCTGCGTTATGGATATAATTTTCCTTTCACTTCAATTATGAACTATTTTTGCTGGTCAATCGCAAAGTTCTAGTAACAAAGTTTATATCTGTAGCATGACAAAGTCTGAAAAAGTCTGAGATATGAATATTTTTGCAGAGCACCATTTATTCAGAGGATTTTCATTCTAACTTAATAGCAAAATTAAATATTTTATTCATCCCAGGACTTTCTTCCGTGTACATCACAAAACAGCTACAATACAGTGCAACGTAGTCAGTTTAATAGAGATATTTGCTGCAACTTTCAGATGTTAAAAGTGAGTGTCGCACGTTTTATGATGAATCACATTTCTAATTCAGTTTTATAGGTGAGGATGTGTCACTTTGGGTAAATGTGTGTTATTTAAGCACCTGCCTGGGGAGCTGACCAGGCACAAACCAATAATTTAGACTTACAGGGTAATAAAACTGAATGTGGTCTGTGACTATGGGCACCTGTTGCAGAATTTAACAGATTTACACCCTGAACCATCCATAGTAGACGGTATAAAAAAAAAAATAAAATGAAAAAATCTCTGAATTTACGTGGGTTTTATTCAATCTCGTCTTAGAGATGGAAAAATATTTCAGTCGTACCGTTCCCTTGGCGACAGTGAAAGAGCTCCGAACACAGAAACAAAAAGCCGTAAAAACTGTGTGGTCTAGCGGCTGACAGAACAGCATGGATCTATGATAATTACATTGTAACGGTGGCCTGACCAATAACTATCTGGGCCAAAGCATCAACTTGCTGATCTCTTTCCAAAACTTACCCGAAAATCTGAGCTAAATGCGTCTTTGTGCCATGTTGCTTCTCTGAAACCGAGGAGGTAATTTATGGATTATTTGGTTATGGTTCATTAGTGTGGAGAATTGGAAGTGGGGTGAAGGAGGTATTTTTTCCCTGTGCAACACACTGGGTCCATCTGCTCTTCCAGATTGGCCATACAATAATCACACTCGGTATCACACACCGCAGTGAATATTGCTGGGAGTGAGTTAAAAAGCAGGCTCTGTAACACAGTTTTCTATTTTTATTTTTTTTATTTTTGGGAGAGGGGAGGGGTTGCAAATGAATTGCTGTACTGTGGTTGCACAAGTGTACACTGATATAAAAATCCCCCAATTTTCTTATTTAGACCAGAACCCAGTCCGTAAGCAGAGAACTCAGGGTTGATTTGGAGTCGGTTAAGTGTCTGATACCTTAAACAATTCTAATTGAGGCTGTGAGATTTGGGAAGTTTTAATACTGCTCCCTCAAGCAAGAAGACCTAAACAAAGATGCCCTGTATAATTTAAAGCTTGGTCAGCATCTGTATATTTGTAAGGAAATGGCTTTTCACACTCGGACGCTAAGGTCTCCCCTTCAATAAGGACGAGAAACGAATGCAAAGCACATCGATGTGCTATGCTAGAATAACGCTGGCCCTCTTTCAAGGACTTCTGTTATAATTTTGCAATAGATAAGCAGTACAGTGTGCCTTACATGAGCACATAAATCTAAACCTCCCCAAACAATGCGCTGCGGTCAGCCAAGCTCTGACACGAGACAACAAAATGCTGCTCGCTTTAATTTATTAGAAGCCTTTTGTGCAGCTGCACTGATCAAAAACAGCTTAACCATGCAGATTGTCAGCTTTTAATTTTCGTAATTATATGCGTTAGCAGGCTACAACGTATGCGTCGATACCACCACCACTGAGCAGACCAGGAATGTTACGTGTTTCTAAAATTGTAACATACTTTTCCAGCTCCAAATTTTAAGAGATCTTAAAAAGTTTTTAGCCCATTTTTAAAAGGCAAATACATGTTTCCCCATAGGTTTATAGCAGATGATTTCTGATGAGGTTTTAAATAAAGAATCTGCAAGAATCTGAGACTCAATTCTCAATCTGCCAGAAGAACTTAAAACAGGAATTGTTCAAGCATATAGGCACCAATCCTGTTCAAAATTCACAGCTTAGTTAAGACACTAGAGAGTAGAAACTTCATGGAGACACAGACCGGTCCGGTTCAAAGCCATGTTTGATTAACCCAGTGGTTAGCAACCTTTTCTATTTAAAGAGCCACTTTTTCCACTGCTACTACAAAATAGAACATGCCTAAAACAGCAAAAAAGAAAGTTCTACTGTAATTATGTGAAACATAACATGTTTTATCATGAAAGTTAATAAATGTAAATCAAAATTTATTTCAAATTTTAGTTTTTGGAACAGTAAAAATCCTTTCTAAAACTTTGGGGGGAAAGGCAAGACAGGTTGCATAGTTCAAAGCTAGTTACTTTTAAAAACCTGTTATAGATATTACAAGCAGATTTTGCATACTAACTTGCAGAAAAACTCCCAAAATTACCATTTCTTGTTGCATTTCCTTTCTGGTTTAGTAAAAGCCACAGAGGAGAGGGGGCCAAAGGGCCACATGTCGCTCTGCAGCTGTAGGTTGTAGAATCCTGGTCTAACCAAAAGTTTGTACCTGTATACTGCAGCACAAATCCGTTGCTGCTGAGGGAGGCGTCGCTGCGGAATGCCATGAAGAGCGTGTTGGAGCTGCTCTCGATGCGATCTGGAACATCGGTGCCATAGAAACTACCCAACAAGGGGCTCAGGGAGTCTGGCCCATCATAGATATGCAAGAAGTCATAACTGGGCTCCAGGCTGAAACTGGTTAGAGACAGTCGCATTAAAAAGGAATCTGGACGTTTGCTGCATGAATAAGTAGCGCAAAATTCTCACATCTAACTTATATCATTTGATGACAAGTAGGCTATAAGCTTAATCATTTATCAAGTTCTGCAGTTACAACAACTGTTGTGGGAATATGGTATTGCACATTATGCAATATTTTCTATGCTGTCAAAGCTTACTGGTTAAAGCTGAGCGAAATGACATAGTCCTGTGTGACGGTAACTCTCCAGTCACACTCTCTTCCATGTGGGTAAGGTTCAGGATAGTCTGGAGACAGAATCAGCCCACTTGGACCGGTTAGGTTCCCACCACACGGAGCTATGGGAAGAGAAAAACAAATATTTACAAAATGTAGAAAATATATTGTTTGACATAAATTCTAAAAATGTTATTATAATTTGTGTTATGCGTTGCAATTAGCAAGCTAGGAAGAGCAAGTATAACACAATTAGGCATCGCTACTCAGCTTTGATAAGTGTGTGATAACATTCAGATAAGTGCTGATGTCAATTCAGAGAAGTTGAGCATAATTAATTGCTGCATGCTGTGTTTACAGAGTACCTGTGCATGTTGGGGGGTCTGGCTGCCAGAAGAAGCGACCATTGATCTCTGTGCACGTGATTCTGGTGGCCCCCTGCAGGACGTAGCCGGGATCACACTGGAACACCACGTGGTCCCCGGGCTCCCGGCTGTCGCCGCCGCGGGTGCCGTTAGTGGGCATGCCCGGGTCATTGCAGGAGGTCGCCGTAGAGACTGCAAGAGCAAGCAGGCACTAGATCATTGAAACAATATGGAAAAAAAAAGCTAATGTGATGGCATAACTATGTCATGGAAGATGATTCGTGTTATAAACCTCCAATCCGGTTGCTGAATTTTCATTGCTCACCAGAAAACTGCAAAGCAAAGCCTTGCTTGCTGGTAAAAAAGTCCGTGGTGAATTGCAAAGTGATCGTGTTAAAGGTGCTGTGAGTGTCCGGGGGCAACGCCGACCCACTCAGCTCCCTCAGCAGGACTCCCCCGTCCTGTGGACCGTCCCAGATCCGAAGCACATCGTGGACCTCCTCCGTGTGGAAGACCAGAAAATGCAGACTGAAAAGAGGGAAAAAGAAGATACAGTAGCTGTCAAGTATGATATAGAATTGGACAGTAAGAGTCAAAGAAGATGTGCTTATTGTTTCACTCATGACGACGTACAATCCAAATGTCCATTTGTATGAATTTATATTAACTTGTACTCTCAAACAGGCAGAATTTCTTCAAGTCGATTGAGAGCCTGTGGAATCACTTGAAAATTGATGTTTGCAGGTGCTTCTCATACAGTCTACCTGAACTTGAGCCGTTTAGCAATGAAGACGGAAAATATTTCACTTTCAAATGGCCAAAGTTGGTAGAAAAGACACCTCAAATGACTTGGAGATGGAACAACCATGACAGATGCTTCTACAGAGCAATTTGTACAATATTTTTCTCACATGATTGTGACAAAAAATGTTGATGAAATGCATTGAAGTTTGTGGGTTTAACCCCCACAAAACACACAAACGTTGAAAACGTATAGTACATTTGAAGGACACTGTGAAGTTACTATAAAAGTAACATTGTGATTAAAGAAAATTGAAGACAGGAAACCAGTCTGCTCTTAGCACAAATGAGGGGAAACAAATACTATTATAAGGAGGATCACATGAATCAGATTAGGGACATTCAACAACGAGTCCACAGTGTCAGTCAAAGCAATAAGTCTGCAGCAGCATTTTAAAGTCAGTCGAGATGCCAAAAAGATGATGCTGTCAAAATATCTCCCATTCAATTTGGCCCAGACAGCTGTCAGCCAGCTGGTGGTCCGATGGATCTGAAAAGCTGTGTGCCGGTTCGTGTACGTGCACCGGCATAACCGCAGTGCATTCGTAATAATATGCTGCTTAAGTATTTGTGTTGGAGCATTTCAAAGGATGCTGTGGACAGGCTCAGCTAGGCAAAAAAATAAATAAATAAATACTATATCTGGTACTCTCTTTCTTTGGGTCCTTATTGAAAACAGCATTCACAGCAGAAGTCCACAATGCCTGCAACTAATTATAAAAGTGGGTTAGCTCATGTCAGCTTCTACGGAATGTACAGTTGTGGTCAAAAGTGTACATACACTTGTAAAAAATCATAATGTTATGGCTGTCTTGAGTTTCCAATAAG